TTATGACATTTGTAATGCAACCATCAGAAACAAAATCTTACTCCTTACCTGCCAGGCCCAACTGTCCTAATTAAGACTGGGTAAGAAATTACACTCTTTAATATACTGTACTAGAGTGGACTCCACAACTTCCAAAACTTATTTGAACACTTCTTGAGGAAAAATCATATCTTTTATAACTTAATAAAAAAAAAAAGAACATCTGATAGCCAACGAGAATGCGAAGAGGTCATTTTGGACTTCCAATACACCAATATCTGTCTCTTTCAATATCTTTTAAGAGTTGGCAAGGATAGTACTGAGGGGCAAATTCTGAACAAAGCAGTGAGAGAATTTGGTTAAATTCTTTCCCCTGCAATAAATGACAAAGTTTAAAAAATATTTATCCAATAATTATATAATGAAGGGCAATGCCACAACATATGAATCAGGTTTGCTGGAGTTTGACAGCATCTGTCACATGCTGGAGGAACATCTTTATACATCTTTGCCAATCTAGTTTTTGTATAATAAACAACAGTGCACAACTTTGCTCTGAATAAGTGAGTGTCTGGCACGTATATATGATCTGTGTACCCTGTTAAGGGTCCTTTCCCAGAGTTCCTCTGATATTTCCTCCTCCACATATTTTTTCCAAAGAGCCCCAATAGTATCTATAGACTCTGGACAAAGACTGTGGATTTGAAAGTAGATTTGTGAGATTATACCTTTTATTGTATTAATCGGAGTAAAAACTATTCAAAGGAGTATCATTAGGCAGGAGAGGAAAATCTGGAAATGTAGCCTGAGAAAAAAAAGGCACATTTGCTTGAAAAGCAAATGTGCCATCAATATATAAATCACGAAATGTATTAAGGCCACAACTAGACCAAAATAAAATAGCACTGTCCAACATGGAGAGAGAAAAGACTTGATTAGTGGCAATCGGAGCATGGATTGAGTATGACTGTAATTGAGCCCAATTCTTAAGAATGGTCTGAACTATCAGATTCTTAGTACATTCTCACATTCTTCTACCTCACCTTTTGCTAAAGCATTCAGTTAGCTGGGTTTAGTGGAATTTTGCTTCCATCTTAAGCCATGAAGGAAGAGACTCTACATTTTTATTTTGAAGCCAACATTTTAAATCTCTAATATTGGTGGCCCAATAATAGAACCTCAGGTTAGGGAATACTAAACCCCCCAATGGCTTGGGTCTTTGTAAATATACTTTACGTAACCTGGGGATAAGCCAGGTAAAGCCCAGTATCTTGCAGTCTAAATCAGATAGGAATGCATTGAAACAATATAAAAATCGTGGGACAACAAACATCTTCACAGCATTAATTTGAGCAGCTAAAGAGAGATTCAGAAGGGACCATCGATCAAAATCCTCCATAGTTCAAGACAACAAAGGAGTCCAGTTTTCTTTAAATAGATCTGCATAATTATGTGTAACATGAATTTCAAGATATGAAAAACTAGGCTACTTAGCGAAATTCTTTGCTAATGTATTAATGGGAAATATTACTCTTTTAGACGAGTTCAATTTATAACCTGAAATTTGACCGAAGCATTGAAGAGTGGCCAGGGCAGCAGGGACAGAAACGGACATATTAGAAACATAAAGAAGTAAATCATCCGCATATAAAGAAACTTTTAACTCGACACAATTCCTAACTATGCCAGGAATGGCACAGTTAGATCGAAGGGCGATTGAATCTTGTTTGTCCTTACTGCAGCCAGTGGGGAGGAATAAAGCAACTTAATCCATGAAATAAATTTCTTTCCTAAACCAAACTTATCCAAAGTATAAAATGAATAGTTTCACTCCACTCTATCAAACGCTTTCTCAGCGTCCAACAAAATCAAAGCTTCCTCTGTATTAGCCTGAGATTAGAGAATAAGTGACGATTCAGAATAAAACCTGTTTGGTCTAATGAAATAATAGTTGGAAGAACGTCTTCCAGTCTTAAAGCCATCAATGTTGATAACAGTTTGAAATCTATATTTAGCAAACTTATCGGATGGAAGGAAGTACAGTCTAACGCCCGTTTCACACATACTCCGTTTGCAGTGCATATTTTTTTCGGTACCCATGTTAACAGGTTAGAGCTTTCACACTGCACGCGGATGCAGTCCGTTGATCTGTTCCAGTTGCGGTGCGTATACAGCAGTGCAGAGATCGTTTCCGCACCGAGTCTATTTTTGCTGTGCTGCAAACCCTGAATTAAAGTGACAGCGCACGGTTCGTGGTCAAAATGAACACAGATTGACCTGAAAATGTAGTAATTTCACCATAAATGCATTTAATTCAATAAAATGTAGTAATCTCACCATAAATGTATTTCCTTAAATACTAGGCCTACTTTTTTCACAGTCATCTTTTTACTTAAAGACCAGGGTTAAGCAAGGAGAACTACAATTTACCTCAACAAGGACATAATGAACAATCTCCATTGTTAAAAGCGCTATATAAATGAAGATAAAAAAAAAAAATTAAAAAAAAACAACACTCATCTCATTCGTGGAGGTGGAAAAACAAGTTCTTTGTGACATGCAAGATTTATTGTATTAAAATTTAAATGCAAAAGAAAAGGCATGAGATGATGAGAGTCGGCTGTTTTTGTCAATTTTAAGTTTTAATTGAAATTGTTTGCGATTTTAATATAAGTAGGCTACATGGTTAAATATTTTACCACTTGCTTGAGCAACTTAATATATATAGAAGTAATGCATGGATTTATAGGCCTACGTTGTTTAAATTGTGTTTAAACGTGCATACGTCCATTCAAGTTTGTAGGCCTATATGTGTACAAAGAGAATCGCAATGCTGACAACTTTTTTAATTTTTTATAAAAGTTGCTGCATAACTTCTGGATTTGAAATAAAAATTGTGAGTAGGCCTATGTGTTTGTGGTACAGCCGCGGATCAGTTACGCACTGCAAACGCAGCATATGTGAAAGCACTATAGCGCGTGCTGCTCCTGTACCGTATACGCACCGCAACACGCACCGCATACGCACTGCACACGGAGTATGTGTGAAACGGGCTTAATGGGGCCTTGTCTTTTTTCAAAAGAAGAGAAATAGAAGTCAAGTCATCCTCATTTATATAGCGCTTTTAACAATGTAGATTGTTTCAAAGCAGCTTTACAGAGATAAACTTAATATAATTTAAGGTAACAGAGATTGGTTTGGTTTTATAGCGGTTATTGAATAATGTTATTTTCCAGCTAAAGTTAGTTTTGATTGATTCACTTCTGTTGAAATGATCATTTGTTATTAAATTAGGGGCCGCTAAGATGACACCGTTCTCTCTAAACAGACTTTAAACGTGAACCTGTGATAAACGCTGATGGCGTTCACATGCGCATTAAGAATTGATTCTATAGTTATGTGCGTTTGAATATATGTGCGCAGGATTGTAATTCCCTCCAAACCATGCCTAAACAAACTACTTGTCTTGCCTATAAATTTTGATACAGAATTTTATTTTATTTTATCACTTCGGGTTGGTACGTGAACCCTAATTTCCACAATGCTTTATCTGTAGAGTGCAATAGGGATCCTCCATAGGGAGAGGCTAGTTGGCACTTCAGCACTGCGTTGTCATCGGGTCCAGGCGAAGGTCCTTCGTCAGATCTGGAAACGGCCTGGATCCGGCAGGCTGCGGGAAAACCTCGGGATAAACAAAGACACTTAAATTAGCGTAGATGCCATTCTCTTATGATGTAACGAGTACATCAGGATTTAAGGGAAGTGTTCCCAGTTCCGGCTGACCTAATCTATGCAGCCTAACATTGAATTATAGAACTTGATAATGTATTATGTGAATGCTAGGTCAAAGAGATGTGTTTTTAGTCTAGCTTTGAACTGACAGAGTGTGTCTGCTTCCCAGACAATGGTAGGAAGACTGTTCAAAAGTTTTGGTGCTAAATAGGAAAAGGATCTACCGCCAGCAGTCGATTTTGATATTCTAGGTATTATCAACTGGCCGGAACTTTGAGATCGCAATAGACGTGAAGGACTATAATGCGTTAAGAGCTCGCTCAAGTACTGCAGAGCTAAACCATTTAGTGCTTTGTAAGTAATCAGCAATATTTTGAAATTTATACAATGTTTAATAGGCAGCCAATGCAGTGTTGATAGAACCGGGCTAATATGGTCATACTTCCTGGTTCTGGTAAGAACTCAAACTACAGCTAGTTCAAAACGCTGCAGCTCGTTTATTAAGCATGCAGGGAAACCCAGTAGAGCATTACAATGATCTAGCCTTGAGGTCATGAACGCATGAACTAATTGTTCCGCATTTTTCAATGAGAGCATATTATGGCACAATTTAGATATATTTTTAAGATGGAAAAATGCGGTTTTACAGATACTAGACACGTGACTTAATAGTATAGAATCTTAATAAATAGAAGCCTGATTGAGGGTCTGAGGGAGAAGGCCTTTTTCGAATTATTCATTAAACATATCCAATAATAGATGGGAACGTTTTTGCCAAAACACTTTATAGAATTCCACCGGGTACCCATCTTGTCTTGGTCTTTTCCCAGACTGTAAGGAAGAAACAGCTACATAAAGTTCTTCGATAGTAATTATTTAATCTAATTTCTCTGAAGATGATTGTTCAATGCAAATATTTATTTAACTGAATTGCAGCCTTTGTGGTTTCACAATAGCACTATGCTATATTATGTTTTTTAAATGGTTTTAATATACCGTGCAGTCTTTGAAAACTGTCTAATAATGCGGTTCATGGATTCTCATCCGTGGAATGTGCCACTCCCGGTATTTTGCCGGTTAATCGACACAGGAAAATTGCAATAGAGTATTTTTTTAAATCGAGTAATCGAATTTAATCAATGAATCCTGACAGACCTAATAGTTTGGTCATTTAGTTGAAATATCATGACTTAACTAGTATTTAAACAGTTTTTACTAAATGAAAATAAATCATTTGGCTATTGTAATTCCCTTTTCTTGGTTTTTGATTATTTGTTTATTTTTTTCAGTTAAAAAGAATGTTTAGAAAAGAAGTGGGAAAGAAAATTCCAGAAAATGCAGACTCACAGAGTAACAATTCACAGTCAACAGAGAAAACGGACAGCATAGAAGGTAATGCACTTTGTATTCACTTTTAAACCACAAACTGAACTGATTTGTCAATAGTCAGCATGGTCCATGTAATTGTTTCTTCAATATCCTATTCAAATATGTCTTTAATCTTTCACTTTATTTTTGATACTAAGAAATTGTCTGATATTTTGTACCATGGCTTATGCTCCAGGTGAAAAGAGATCAGTGCAGGAACAGGATTGTTCTGATGATAATTCTGTTCCATGCTACCCCAACAATGGTCCTGTTCCGTGCCAGGATGCTCTGGAGGAGGGAAAAGAGCCACCATTGGATGGTCTTCAGGGACAATGGGCCCATTTGGGTGACCAAGAGTCAGATGAGGAGCCAGGTGATGATACAGATGATACCAGCTCTGTCACTTCCTCTGCCAGCTCTACGGCCTCACTGCAGAGTGGCCCAACACGAAAAAAGAGCATTCCTCTCTCTATCCGCAACCTAAAGAGAAAACACAAGAAGAAGAGGACTAAGTTTTCACGCGAGTTTAAACCAGGAGACAGGTGAATGAATGTTTTGGATTTGTGAGTTCAGAAATTATCATTCCGTGCCAGATAAATGTTGTAAATCATTGTGCAATACCTGCAGGATCACCCTTAATATCCTTCAGTCCTAACTGACAGAATTGATCATTATGTCTGCAAATCGACAAACAATTCTAAATACCTGAATGATTTTCTTGACCTTTGACACTGGATATGGTTATAAGGCATGTTTCACATATACTGTGTGTCAGGGCATGGGTAGTGATTTATTTTTTTTGGTGCCAAATTAAAAACCATCAAGAGATTAGAAAGTCCAGGAAACCATTGAAAAACATTTGAACAATGAATGCAGACAACTAAAGCAGTCAGCACTCGTATTATTTTTGTTTTATGTATTTCCATGTCTTTTTAATGATTTAGTCAAAACGAGTAACAAGCGAACTCTGTCTTAAAGTTGCTCCCTTGGAGTAGTTACTGCAATAAGATCTGACCCAATGACTAAACAGCAAAAAAATTACTTAAGGTAATAAACATACTAATTAATGCAGGAACAGTGCATTTCAGTGCAATGTCATTATAATCAAATCATTAAGTTGAATTGCAACTAAAATTGTTAAAATTATTATTACGATTTCCATCCGTTTTGATCATTTTGTTTTGTGGTCCTATGGATGAAACGAAGTCAAAATAGCATTTTGATGTATATGCAGAGAGACTAGGGACAGTATAATGAAACCTTACCTTGTTGAGCTCTGTATCCGTTCACCTGTCTCTCATAGTATGGAGATGGCTGAGGAGACGTGTGTATCACTCTGGCAAAACATAGACGTTTTTTTTAATGTCTTTGTCCTCTTGAAAATGTTCTTGATGTGCATATATATTGTCTATGTCATTTCTTTCCAGCTCACTAGAAGAGAGCCAAAATGGATCATATTACCGATCATATTACCAAAAAAAACCCCAAAAAAACGTATTGCCTATTTTGAGATGGAACTTACCGAACATCCAAAACAATTATATACAGGTGAAACTCGAAAAATTAGAATATGGTGCAAAAGTTAATTTATTTCAGTAATTCAACTGAAAAGGTGAAACTAATATATTACATAGACTCATTACATGCAAAGTGAGATATTTCAAGCTTTTATTTGTTATAGTTTTGATGATTATGGCTTATAGCTTATGAAAACCCCAAATTCAAAATTAGAATATTGTGAAAAGATTTTCATATCTGTAAGCCATAATCATCAAAATTATAACAAATAAAGGCTTGAAATATCTCACTTTGCATGTAATGAGTCTATATAATATTAGTTTCACCTTTTAAGTTAAATTTCTGAAATAAATGAACTTTTGCACCATATTCTAATTTTTCGAGTTTCACCTGTAAAATGAGCTTCTAAAATGTGTAAAGGAGTCACAACAGCGGCAGGAATCCCTCCGTCACACACACAAACGATCTGCTGCGAGGAGATGCGGTTCTAATGCCTGTACCAAACTGTGATGGCAACATCATGACTATAATGAGAAAAAAACTATATGCGTGAGCACTCTGTCCTTTTTAGGGTCTCATCTTTCTGTTTTTGATTCGTTTACATGTCTTTGGTCCGGGTTGCGTTCATATATCATTCGAACCGCACCAGAGTTCATTTGGAAGAGGACCGAGACCCATCTTTTCAGCGTTCTCGGTCCGCTTGTTTGGTGCGCACCAGGGTTCGGATGGCAGCGTTTACACATTCAAATTAACCGCACTAACAGAGCAATCGCACCAGGTTTAATCGAACCAAACATGCCAAGTGTTAACACACCCTTAAAGACATATACGTGTTAATTGTTAAGGACTTGTTCAAGACCATGTTAATTGTTTATATTTAACACAGAATAATATTTTAAGACTTACACCTCATCAGATGTGGAACAAATATTTTGCATCAAAATTAATCTGGCCTCTGGGACAGATCTGCATTGAAGTCACATAAGCGTAAGCCTGTTTATGTTACACTTACATGCAGGTTTGAGCTTACAGACATGTTGACTACAACATGATACAAAACCTTTAAATCCAAATAACTCAATTCATGCACAAAGAATGGGCTCTGATGTTTAGATTTACATCAAATTGTTTTCATTGAAGTTCATGAAACAATCTTTGCTGAAATGTGCAACACAATCTGTTAATCAGATGGTCAGATATTATGATATGATCCCTTCAAAAAAAGACTTAAACTACTTTAATCTTTCTTTGAAGGGGTCATATCATAATATATCATATTTCTGTCAAATTAAATAAGACTTCAATTAGAATAGACTCTTAAATGGTATGTCTGTTTGTGCGTAGGGTGGCAGTTGAGGTTGTCTCCACTGTAACCTCTGCAGATGTGATGTGGAAGGATGGTACATTAGAGACAGGGATCCGCTCCAATGACCTGATCCCTATCCAGCACCTGGACAACCATGAGTTCTGCCCGGGAGACTATGTTCTAGACAAACGACGTATGTTCTTTTTATAACACAGTTGTCGTTTTCAATATGGCTCTTAATTGTTTCATGCCTTTGTTTGTTGGAGCATGCTTAAGTATCAGTAAAGTCCTTATATTAGGTTGATTACAATTGAATTGTCAAATAGATAATCTAATCTAACTTGATTAGATTTTGCACTTTACTCACTTAAAGTAAACCCTGTTGATTTTTGGCTCATGCAGCCCAGGCTCTTCTTGATCCAGGCATCTATGGGGTGGTTCAGTCAGGTGATCATAAGGCCAGAACCTGTGTAGTCAAGTGGGTCAAACTCAATGCTGCAGGCGACAATGTTGAGGTATTTTTGATATTGTGATTAAGAGGTGTTTGGGATTGTCTATTTTCATATTGTTTAACAAATATTATATGTAGGTGATTGGGGAGGAGGAGGACGTTAGTGTTTATGACATTGCTGATCATCCAGATTTCCATTTTCACACAACGGATATTGTCATAAGGATCGGCAACTCTGACACAGAGGACTGTGAAAATGAGGTACATGCATAATTTTGCATAGAAAATTTTAAAACTTTTTCAGGCTTATCACATTGCCAGTGTGCATTTAAGTTTGAGTGTAAAATGTAGCTCCCCATTGTAATTTTTGTTATTCAATGCACCTAGTAATTTTTTATTTATTTAATGTAAAACTGGTTTTATTATTTGATATAAGTGGACAAAATGACTTGGTGCTCTTATAAGGTTATTTGATAGTTCTTCCTTGTTTTTAGCAATTTTTGAAATTTTCTCCATGTCATTTTCTCAACTGTCCATGTAGAGATCTGTTGGCCAAGTGTGCAGGGTGGATCTGAGCAGTAAAGTGGAGGTTGTGTGGGCTGATAATTCAAAGACTATTGTCCTGCCACAGGTATGCACCAGTCTATCGAGCTATTCAATTTTAAACTGATGAAAAGTATTTGCTACTGAATGTGCACACACCCACCTATGACCCTGGAACTAACACTAATTTATTCTTTCTCTCTTAGCACTTGTATAATGTAGAGTCTGAGATTGAAGAAACATATTATGACTCTGCAGAGGGCAGCAGTAGTGGTGCCTCATCTGAAGAATGGGAAGATGAGAGTGATAGCTGGGAAACAGATAATGGACAAGTGGAAGAGGAACCAGGTGGTGGGGAAACCATCCCAGTCTCTTCCCCCAACACAGGTGTCACTTCTGATGGCAAAACCCATGGCGTGCATGCTTCCACGACTACAGACTCACCAGGAGCTATCTCCACACCTGAACTTCCTGGAGGTAATGAATCTCTTACAATTATATTGCAGGATTATTAAGTATCAGATAAAGTTTTCACTCTGGTCCATTCACATTGTTTTACAAGAGAAAAAATGGGTACAGAAAATTTAGTATTTTGCCATCTTAACCCTCTGGGGTCGGCAATCACGCCGGCGTGATTTGCTTGATTTTTTTTCACATAGCAGCAAAATAGACTTAAAATACTCCGTCGATTTTTGTCATACAGGCAAGTGTTATACATCATTCGATCCTGTTAAGTGTCTAATATTTTTGTGTATACTCACAATAAAAACAAAGTGTTGTGCTTTTCGACAAATAAAGAAAAATAAACATGATGCAAGTTCTGCCTTCTCTCTGTCGGTGAAGTCCATTCTGAAACGCGTCCGAAAATTAACTATAACTCCGCAAATACTTGTCATACAGGCACGAGAGATTTTTCTTTATGAAGCTTGAATTCTCTTCTTTTCAATTAAGTAATTTATATAAAAAACAAATATTCTCAGTTTATGTAATCTGTATGAAAAGAGAGTGCTGTCAGTATTTTTTTTCCCAGCTCATTACACTTCATTACGCGTTAATCTGACACGCCCACGGAGGACACGCGCTATTCAAAAGTAAATGTTGAGGCAAGCCATGACAATGCCCACATCAGCCGTTCCACCGCAGCAGTAAAATGTGTGGTGTATTTGCTGCCTTTTACCGCTAAGAGGCGCTACAATCATAGACTCTGAAAAGTGTTTGTTTATTCTCTCTAATGCGTAATCTGCTGCCGCGCCGCGGCTGATTCAGAGCGATTGAAAGCTGGTAGCAGATGAATTCAACAAGTGAAACGTAGTTAAAATAATTCATAATCACAATACTGAAATTAGGCTACTGAAATGAAATTGAATAAATAATGAAAACATTTCAACATAAAACATTGCAATAAAAACATTTAGGCTACATCAATGAGGCTTTACAAGAGCATAAGACGTTAACTTTAACAGCGTACAGACGGTAGCTCAGTGATCAACGCAACAACACGAGCTTCGAGGAGCTTCAATCGACCCGAGATCGAATCTCAATGTAGCATACATGTTGTAAACCGATGTTGGCCTACAGCGTTTATATTTTACCACCTTGATGCTTAAATAGGTAACTGTTTATAACTGTTTACTTATTTAAAGTCAAGAGTTTTGTTTAATTATCATTACAACATAAATTTGCTACATTCCTGTAGAACCGCAGCCGCTGCACAAACGACAAAAACTGATGAAGGAAGATTGTCAGCCGATTGCATCAGAAAATGAAAATGAAGAAGCTCGTCTTTAGTCTGCTAAATTATTGTGTAATGTAAAAGAACACTAAAATTACTTAAGTTTGAAACCAAGTTCGAACATTTCAAGGTTTAAATAAAGTGTCGGGACAGTTTTTTTAAATTTTAAATTTAAAACAGGGTTGCATCGGGTTTAGAGTTTATTTCTTTTGCGATGCAAAATAAGAAACACTAGGCTAATCTTATTCTTGCGACATTTTAAATTTGTATTGCCAAAGGAATTACAGCTAAATTAAACAATTAAAACAGTACAAAACGAAAATTGTCCAAAGAAACATAATTAAATTAAAAACATGCGTTTTTCTTTGCCTCTCTCGCGCTGGATCTCTTTTTAACAAGTTTATTTAGTCTCCCTCGCTGCGCGCGCCGGGTCTCTCTCGAAATTAAACATTTCAGGGTAAAAACACATCATACAGCTGATAATACTGTATATGTCGCTGCGTGTCAGCCATACAAATCACGAAAAAATTATTTAGCCTTTAATTGTTGCATCAAAGACACAGCATGCCTAGTTGAATTCACCTTACAATAACTTCAATTGAAATTGTGTGTGAAAAAAACTTTAAATAGGCTGCAATAAATAAACTACAATATTTATAATTTAATAAGATATGGGGCCTACATTTGGACACAGATTTATCCTTACAATAATTTTGCCTGCTCATCAGGCTGGCTATCCGACACTCTCCATATGAAAGAGGAACATTAACTCAGTACAAAAATTACGGAGTCGCCTATTAAGTTATTTTAGCTGTAATAATGAGAATATTATAAATTAATCTAAATGAACGCGCCGCCGCGTTTGTCGAACACTAACTCACCATGCCAGAATAAAACCCGACTTTAGAAAAATGCATAGGGCCACTCGGCGTGGTGTGCCAAAACACTTAATTATAAACTTCAATATTTCATTCAAAATAATCTCAACACGCTTTGTGAAATTTTGAAAAGCCGTGCATGCATTAAGGCCACTGGAACTAATGAACAACTGAAACGCTGGTTTTGATTTTGTTTGTCGTTTAAACGTGCCTGTTGCATATCTCTATTTTATATATTTGATATTGGTGAAGTAGCCTATAGCATTGATTAGCTGTGGAGGGAGGGGTGTGGGGATTAAAATAATTCAGCAGAAGCAGGGATGTTTAGACGAGAAGGAAATCCCAGTCCCCCCTGGCAAATCACACTTTACTTAAAACCATGTTTTTAAAAACTCTAGGTTGTAGGGAACAGACCTCTCTGCCATGCGCGCGCACGGTTTGGAGCACAATATCTGTCTCGCATGCACGCTCGCTCTAGATAGATTACGGGATATTTTAACTAATTTGCGGTATGACTAGTCGATCACGGGATATTTTAACTAATTTGCGGTATGACTAGTCGATCACGAGTGGCTCAACAGGTAGATCTATAAATAAACTATATCTTTCAGGAATTTGACCGACCGGGTTGACACTTCAGCGTGAGAAATCGGGGGTGTGGCGTGAGCGTGAGATTTGGGTCAATTGCGTGAGTCTCACGCTCAATGCGTGAGAGTTGGCAGCCCTGGATCAAAAAAAAATATATATAGCCTATATATATATATATATATATAGGCTATATATACCGTATTTTCCGCACTATACGGCGCACCGGATTATAAGGCGCACCTTCAATGAATGACCTATTTTAGAACATTTTTCATATATAGGGCGCACCGGATTATAAAGCGCATAAGATACTGCAGTCAAACGTTTGACTGGGTTTGCGTTATGCATCCACTAGATGTCAACAAATGTCAACAAAACAGTCAGATAAAGTCAAACTTTATTAAGCGTTCCGACAACTCCGTTCACTCCCATGGTAACGTTGTTCAAACGTTAAAGGAAACCTCCGGTCAATTTTAACATTGAGCTCATTTTTTGTAAATTTGGAGTGCTGTCAGTACAGATAACAATGACAAAAACCGGTGTTGCCTACACCGTGTTATCCTCTTTTTAAAATTTGCACCCTGTTGACTTAAACGGGACAAGTTTTAAACCTGCTTTTAGCCTCTTAACAACCTTAATGTGTCATTACAAGTGCACAGCCATGTGAGTGAACACGGTGAATCTGACTGCAGTAAATGTGAAAGATATGAATAAAAATGATGTTTATTCAGCCAGCTCACATACCCGTATTTTCTTCCTGTTTTCGGTCGAAGTCCACAGTAGGCGATTGTCGAGTGCGCGCGCGCGATCATTGGTAACTAAGCAACAGTGGAAACTCAGACTGTCAGCTGTCAGCCGATGACGGTGCTGTGTGGTGTTCTGAGAATATCAGCTCAAATGGATAGTTCATCCGAATCAGATGTTGAACACACGGAGGAGGCTTGATCGCGCGCGCGCGTGCGAACTCGACAATCAACTACTGTGGACTTCGGCCGAAAACAGGAAGTAAATACGGGTATGTGAGCTGGCTGAATAAAGAGATTATTCCTGCCTTCGTGAAAGCTCGGATCACAGTTGAGACTGATATATCAGCCCAGGCATCCACGATCCATTGGCAGATAGTGGCGTAAGTCGCCCGGCGCTGTCTCCCCGTCTTGGTGAACGTGTGTTCACCATCCATATATAAGGCGCTCCGGATTATAAGGCGCACTGTCGTTTTTTGAGAAAATTATAGGCTTTTAAGTGCGCCTTATAGTGCGGAAAATACGGTAATTTATTTTTTTACAGAACTGCTTTTGAAATTACGATTGGTAGCCTATTATTATACAGATACAAAGTCGTTCTGTTGGATACTATTTTGTTCCTTAGTGTAAAATGGAAATGCATGATAATTGTATTTTATAAATATAAGCAAAAAAAAACTGCATGGTGTAACAGAGTTTTAGAGCTAGACAAATCTCTCTGCATTAATAAATATAAAATTTACAGCAGACCATGTTTGTGCGGGATTTGAACCCGTGTCATCTTGATGATGAACCGTAAGTTCTACCGCTCGGCTATGATTTTTCTCACTGAGAAATACCCAAACGTTTGTTTCTCACATGAGCTAGAAAAGGTTTTGTCTTTAGCCTGTGAGTGTAGGCCTACTTTAGCCTTTTACAGTTTTAAAAGATTATATCTTATCTGTATGACCAACAATTACGGAGTAGGCTATAAATGTTTGTTGTAGGCTTATTTGGAAATTACCATAACTTGTAGTATTTCATCCTTAGGCTACTGTTAATAGACATTAGCCCCACTTACGTTTTGCTAAATTTCCTTTTGCGCCACCTGGCGGTCATTTCGCGTACGACTTTGAAATGCGACTGGTTTATTTTTACCGCGGTGGATGGCTAAAAATGGTATGTGGATGGCTAAAAGGTGTGACTAAAAATGTGCTTTTGGCTTTCATTTATATTTTGATTGTTTGTATATATATATATATATATATATATATATATATATATATATATATATACATATATATATATATATATATATATATATATATATATATATACATATATATATATATATATATATACAGGTCCTTCTCAAAAAATTAGCATATTGTGATAAAGTTCATTATTTTCCATAATGTAATGATAAAAATTAAACTTTCATATATTTTAGATTCATTGCACACCAACTGAAATATTTCAGGTCTTTTATTGTTTTAATACTGATGATTTTGGCATACAGCTCATGAAAACCCAAAATTCCGGTCTCAAAAAATTTGCATATTTCATCTGACCAATAAAATAAGTGTTTTTAATACAAAAAAAAGGTCAACCTTCAAATAATTATGTTCAGTTATGCACTCAATAGTCAATACTTGGTCGGGAATCCTTTTGCAGAAATGACTGCTTCAATGCGGCGTGGCATGGAGGCAATCAGCCTGTGGCACTGCTGAGGTGTTATGGAGGCCCAGGATGCTTCGATAGCGGCCTTAAGCTCATCCAGAGTGTTGGGTCTTGCGTCTCTCAACTTTCTCTTCACAATATCCCACAGATTCTCTATGGGGTTCAGGTCAGGAGAGTTGGCAGGCCAATTGAGCACAGTAATACCATGGTCAGTAAACCATTTACCAGTGGTTTTGGCACTGTGAGCAGGTGCCAGGTCGTGCTGAAAAATGAAATCTTCATCTCCATAAAGCTTTTCAGCAGATGGAAGCATGAAGTGCTCCAAAATCTCCTGATAGCTAGCTGCATTGACCCTGCCCTTGATAAAACACAGTGCACCAACACCAGCAGCTGACATGGCACCCCAGACCATCACTGACTGTGGGTACTTGACACTGGACTTCAGGCATTTTGGCATTTCCTTCTCCCCAGTCTTCCTCCAGACTCTGGCACCTTGATTTCCGAATGACATGCAAAACTGAGCAACAGTCCAGTGCTGCTTCTCTGTAGCCCAGGTCAGGCGCTTCTGCCGCTGTTTCTGGTTCAAAAGTGGCTTGACCTGGGGAATGCGGCACCTGTAGCCCATTTCCTGCACACGCCTGTGCACGGTGGCTCTGGATGTTTCTACTCCAGACTCAGTCCACTGCTTCCGCAGGTCCCCCAAGCTCTGGAATCGGTCCTTCTCCACAATCTTCCTCAGGGTCCGATCACCTCTTCTCGTTGTGCAGCGTTTTTTGCCACACTTTTTCCTTCCCACAGACTTCCCACTGAGGTGCCTTGATACAGCACTCTGGGAACAGCCTATTTGTTCAGAAATTTCTTTCTGTCTTACCCTCTTGCTTGAGGGTGTCAATGATGGCCTTCTGGACAGCAGTCAGGTCGTAACCCATGATTGCGGTTTTGAGTAATGAAACAGGCTGGGAGTTTTTAAAAGCCTCAGGAATCTTTTGCAGGTGTTTAGAGTTAATTAGTTGATTCAGATGATTAGGTTAATAGCTCGTTTAGAGACCCTTTTCATGATATGCTAATTTTTTGAGACAGGAATTTGGGGTTTTCATGAGCTGTATGCCAAAATCATCAGTATTAAAACAATAAAAGTCCTGACATATTTCAGTTGGTGTGCAATGAATCTAAAATATATGAAAGTTTAATTTGTATCATTACATTATGGAAAATAATTAACTTTATCACAATATGCAAATTTTTTGAGAAGGACCTGTGTATATATATATATATGTGTGTGTGTGTGTGTGTAAATATTTATTTATTTATATATATATATATTGTCCTTGCATTCTTTCTTGTGTGACACCCCTGAATGAAAGGCTCATTAGTATGCAGTCTGCTCAGGTGAGAACTGCCTAATTATTCATGAGGGGGTTGGGCCGTTCCGCCCATCCGCATATTGCCTTTGCAAACAAAAAAATGTTTTTCACAATTTAAAACAATCTATTGTTTTATGTGAATGATTAGGCAGGATGATTTTCAGATCAATTTGAAGCAAAAACTCTAGGCGACAACATCCACTAGTCAAAGGTCTTGTGGACAGATATTTAGTATGTTATTTGTGGCCTTATATTAGAAACTTTATTTTTTTAGTTTTTTCAATAACCACGCATAAACAATATCTCTCAAAAATACAAACATGTACATACATGTTGCTCACATATTATGGTATCCCTGTGTGTGCTATATAGAGTGTAATTTCACCTGTGCCATTAATATGTTTATAAGCAACTGAAAAAAGCAGAAATGTCAGAGCATTGCCAAAACATCAAGGACCCCGAAAACACCTCAGAGGGTTAAGTGAGATTACATTCTGTAGGGAGTAATCAACCAGAATCTGGTTTTTGCCACCTTTTTTTTTTTTTTTTTTAACCATAGACTGTGCTTTATAATGCAGTAGCCAACTAATACCCCATATAAAAAAATAAAACAAAAGTCTTAATTTGTATTATGTAATTTTCTCCTTGTAATAAAAAACAAACAAACAATAGAAATGCGAATTATAAAGCTATACATTTGCATGGTCGTATTAAGAGTGAAAGCATAGTTTATAGGCTACTTGAGTTAGGCTTTGCATGGGAGTATTAAGAGGAATTAGACAATAGCTTAGTGGGCAGCGCGATAACACGTGGTGCAACTTCTCAAGGCGATCCAAGTTCGAGTCCCAGCTCAAGATTTTGGCTTCTCAAGCAAACATCAGTTTGTTGTCTAGGCTAGGCCTGCTTAATGACAACAACATTGTAAATATTTGCTCTTAAACGATGCAACACTGGCGTCACGTGAACGGTAGCTAGAACGCTAGTGAGAGGTGAGACCGGAGTTATCAAGTCAGCTTTGTGGAGTTACTTTTAACTAAAAACCAAAGCCAAGTGCAATTTATGCAATGTAAATGTTTCGAAAGGGAGCAGCAGCATTGGAAACTTCAACACCATATACTTGATTAAACACTTGAAGAAGCATCATGGAAAGGAGTATGCCGAATTTATACAGGCACGAGTGCCATGAAGAAAAGTGTGCCGCATTTTTAAATAAAAATGAAGAAGCAGTCATGTTGTGGGCTACGTATTTCTTCCTTTAGGGGAGTAGAACATTTCTTGCACTATTTGAGCATGATGCTTTTTAGATGGCTAGGTTAAAGCTGCAGTCCTTACAAAATTTACAAAATTTATATAATGAGCGAGTACATTGTGAATCCCAAATCATGTTTTTGTCTTATCCTGAATCACTACGGTACACCTATAATAAGTGTTTATATTCTGACTTTTTTAGACTGGTTCGGGTTAATCATTAACAGCTTAATTGTTTAAGAGGGAGAAAAAGATGGTATTGGATCGGTAAGGTTGTGGTATCGGACATGAAAAAGTGGTATCGAGCGAGCCACCCTTACTAAATAGTATGCTATTGGTTTAAATATAAAAATGTAAATATATATTGTACATTTTCAAGGTTTACATAAATTCTTGGGACAGTTTTATTTATTTATTAGCCTACAGGTTTGCATAGTTTATTCCCTGTGCGATTTTATGTAAAATGAGGAATACAGAATCTTATTCTTATTCTTGCAACATTTTTAGATTTGTTTAGACAAATAAATTGCAGCGGGGAGGAAACACTATTAAAGGCTAGCATTAATAGGCTAACATTATTAAAGTTTATGGAGGAATTAAATTATTTACATGTCATAATATTTTTGTCATAAAAGTTTATTATTCAAATGATAAATTCAGTCATAGCCTACTGTTGGATAATATTTGTTGCTTTCATGGTAGGCTAGATTTATAGTCTAAATGTTGGCAAAATAATTATGGTGTAACAAATCAACGTGTTTTAGAACTGCACGACACACAAATCTCTGCATAAAAAACAGTAGCATGTGTTTGTTCGGGGTTTGAAGAACCAGTGTCATTGACATTGCTGACCAATGCTCTACCACTCAACTACGAATTGACTTTCTGAGAAATGCCCAAAAGTTCCCTTTTCCAATCAAGTAATATAAGTCATAAGAAATCAACATCACAAAAACCCAAAACAAATCAAGAAAGTAAAGATAAGAAGATGGATCCTCCAAAAGACATTGAAATGAAAGAGGATATGTACTCTCGTAGTCATAGTCCTTCTCCAAATGTTTGAAATTGTTCAATCCAGGGTAGAACAAGCCCCTTATTTCGAACATTTGGAGAAGGACTTAATTTGAGTCTCTTTTGCACTGATAAGGAAAAAGAGTTCGTCGCGCCGGCGCAATAGCCGACCCCAGAGGGTTAATCTCAAAATGTTTCGACTTTAATCTCGAAATGCTAGAATTTTTTCTTTTTTTTACGTTGCGGTTCAGGGCTTCCGTAAATATGTATCTGCCATGTAATATGCTGATATGGCAATAAACTCAGATACTAGTACTAAAAATATATATATATATATATATATATAATAATAATAAAATAAAAAAAACATCAGTGGCATCACTAGGTTTTCTGGGCCCCTTGTACAGTTTATTGGGTGGGGGAACATTGTTGTTCACACCCACTTTTTCCCACTAGAAATGGCCCTGTACATCAGTGTTGTCTGTCTTTGATGTTGCAATTGGTGTTTTCACCTAAAGGCTAATTATTTTTCCTTGCATAGGTGGAGTTGATGCGCCTGAAGAGAAGCCCAGTAAAGAGACTCCACCACGGGGATTTCGTGAGCTTAAAGAAGCTCTAAAGATTTTAGAAAGTTTAAAGAACATGACTGTTGAGCAGCTCTGGACCGGATCACCCACTTCACCCACTGCCGAACCATCAGCCACAACTGCTGCCACAACCCCCGCTGATGCCAAACCCACAAAAGAAAAACGCTTTCTGGATGATATTAAGAAACTTCAGGAAAACCTGAAAAAGACTCTAGACAATGTGGCCATTGTAGAAGAAGATAAAATGGAGGCTGCTATAGAAGAGGAGAGGGTGATGGCACCAGTGCTAGCTGAACCACAGACGCCTGTGCGTTCTGAGTGGCCTAGTGACACACCCGTTTTGTGTCAGCAGAGTGGAGGCAAACCAGGTGTCACCTTCACCAGTGCTAAAGGGGAAGTGTTTTCCGTTTTGGAATGGGCACCAGGTACTTACTGTACACCAAACGTTTTTATTTATTATTTTAAATAACATTAGAATTATTAGGGCTGCCCCCTAATATTCGACTAATCATTAGTCAACTAGAAAAGCCTTAGTCGACCAAAAATTTTATTAGTCGGTTAGTCACAGAAAAATAAAAACTCCACAGGAAGTGACAGTCACACAGTCCATGAGGGACAGATCTTTAATGGCTTGTGGTAATTACAGTATGTCGGGCAGGGAATCCAAACATTTGTGTATCATCCATCGACCTCAAATGTGAGATGGTCCTCACTGCAGAACACGAAATCCACCCTCCCACCTTACATATACCTAAACCTACCCATCTCCGCCCCCTGATCCCTGATCCCTAACCCCACCCATAATACTATCCACCTCCACCCCCTGATCCCTAACCCCACCCCAAATCCTACCCATCTCCACCCCTTAGATCTGGATCCAACTCCGCCCCCTGGATCTCGTGTACTGCAATGAGGTGCTACTGTCAAATATGGCTTATCATTTGAAACATGTCAGTAACTTGGCTGCTCGCTCTAACGTCAACCTAGATAAATGTGTGCTATTATTAGGCGAGTGTTTGTGCAGTTGTTGTGAACTTTTTTCTTCTAAAGTGTAGGAAACTCAGAAGCGAAGACCAGGAGACTTGGTTGTATCTTCAGCAGGATTCTTTATTGAGAACACAAGCTGTGGGTAGCTGCAGTAATCGTCAAGTCTAAACTAAGGCAGTATACATTGTAGTTTATATACCTTTCAAGGGGGAGGGATTACATAGAGGTGGAGACACTCTGAGACAAAGCATGCAAATGAAGTACAGGATTCAGCTCGTTTGCAGAGATTTCCTGATCTCATCAGCATAACAGTGTCATGTATAGATGGTGATCCAATCAGCCTGATTAGATCACTCAATCCTTAACATTATCATAGAGACAAAAGGCCCAGCTGTACTTTGAGAAGTGACAAAAGGTTAATGTCAGCAAGCAGGATTGCTCTTTAAATCTCATCACCTATGCCTCAAAATGTAAAACACTGTACAGTTTAAATACTATTATATTGGAACCTAATTAAACATTTAATAAATGTTGTAACACTACTAAGGGTGTCACGATTTTGATTTTAAATCGAAATCGATCGAAATTAAGTCACAATCTCGAACTTCGAATTAAAAAATGGAATCGTCGATGCTGCCACGCCCCCATGCCACGGAAAAAAACACGCGTGTTGAAGTGCTGCGAGTCAACCTCCTCTAACTTAGCTACAGCCAGTCAAAAGATAGCATGGCAACTGCAGATGCAGGAGACCCATCGACAGAACTTGAACCGTCTACTCTTTCATTGAAGTCACCGGTGTGGAAGTATTTTGGATTTCCAGTGAGTTATGTTATCAGCGTTCGCGTTCAACGTTCGCGCTTCAAAAAAGCCACAGTTTGCAAGCTCTGCTGTGTGCGTGTACCATATTCTTCCACTGGCAGCACGACTAACATGACAGGGCATCTCCACAAAAACATAGATTTATCTGTTAAATCAACAACTATTTGTTTGTTTTGTGAACTTGAATGTCGTCATCTGCCTGTTTGCGAGGCGGCAAATCTGATCCTGATCTCTCAGAGAGCGCGCGAGTACTGAATATTTTAAAATCGCTTGAATGTTCAAACTGGTGAGACTTAAAAAGATGTGCAAATGGTAAACTTTAGTTACTCACGATGCAATGCTGGCCCGATTATGCAAGTGACAATTCCGTCATGTCACGACTCCCGAAACGTGAGAGCAGCGCGCTTGACGATTGCCTTGTGCAACCCATTTTGAGAGACAGAGAGAGAGAAGACGCGGCACCGCTGAACACTCACGCTGTTTGTGAAATTGCATCGAATCGAAGATTTGGAGAATCGTGACACCCCTAAACACTACACAGTGTAGAATCTAGAGTATAGCGCACTTTACTATCTGACATGGAGGTGCCGGTACGATCACTTGCATTTTTTCCTGACAACACCGGAAACAACTTAAAATACTCTGTCATTTTTGGTCATACAGAAAAGAGAGATAACATCATTCTACTTTTATTTGTGTAAACTCGCAATAACAAGATAAAGTTGTGCCTTTGTAAAATAAAGAAAACAAACAGGATAAACCAAAACTCAGTGTATACTTGCCTCGCAGACATGAGAAATATATTTTTAGAAAACTTCAAAAACTATTTTTTCACGACACATTCATAATCATTACTTTTGCCGGTGTGCTGTGGCAAGCTTTATGCGCACGCTTGAGCGCTGATTAGTATTTATAATAGGCAATTAAAGCCTCATTATGATTTATTTATATGGCTTATTAATATATGCGTGCGATTAGTTGACTAATCGCTTAAATTAACGACTACTAGTCGACTAGAAACATTTTTAGTCGAGGGCAGCCCTAAGAATTATTGACTTGCTACTGTATATTTTCATGAACGTGCCTTCTTATATGAACAATAGGTAATTATTTATAATAGAAATGGTCATTTAAGTGCTATCTTCTAGAACAAAAATCATCACATCAATTTCATACAGCACTTTGTATGATAGTTTCATTCTAGAAGCCATCTAAAAATGCCCCCTCTTTCTTGCCATAGACACCCACTCTTTTAAAAAAATGGAATTCCAGCCAGCAGAGGCAAAGAAGTTCTTTAGCACTGTAAGGAAAGAAATGGCCCTGCTGGCCACCTCTCTGCCCGATGGCATCATGGTGAAGACTTTTGAGGACAGAATGGTAAATTTGCCTTGCACCCTATATATTTATGAACTCTGATTGTTGCATTTAGTTTATTTTACAAAGTATGGAAAACAATTGTAAAAAATTCTATCAAATGTTCCTCTTTTCTTCGATTAACCTTTCCTGTTGTTTTCTTCAGGACCTTTTCTCAGCTTTCATTAAGGGCCCTAACCGCACTCCCTACGAGGATGGACTCTTCCTCTTTGATATTCAGCTTCCTAATATCTATCCTGCTGTTCCTCCTCTCTTCCGTTACCTGTCTCAGTGCAGCGGCCGACTTAATCCCAACCTCTATGACAATGGGAAGGTTTGTGTCAGTCTTCTCGGCACCTGGATTGGAAAGGTGAGCTGACCTACTTTCTGTTCTAATTTCTGACTGGTATGTTTCTGAATTTCAACTACCGATAGTCACTTCTTTGCACTCCCTTTGGTCATTCTTCTTTGTTACTATGTTGCATGAATTAAATTGTTGTCCTTCCAGGGGGTCGTATGCCAAATTAGTTACTTTTGATTTAGTCCAATTTAGTCTGTGACCTTTGGAATTAAATGGCCCATTTTTTTTGCTATTGTATCTGCAGGACTATGAATAACATGTTATGAGTGACTAACATTTTTATGTAGCATTAGTAGAAACTTTAGGAAATTTGGTAAAATTAGTAAGTGTGTTCTTTGTATTCTTGTTTAAAAAAAGAAAGAAATTGAGTTCTGAAAGTCCATGTACATGCATATCAAACTCTTTTACTTCAAAAGATCAATTTTGATTTTTTTATTGACCACTCTGTTAATATGATTCATGAAAAGCACAATTTGGCTTTATCACCAAATCCTTGATGCCATTAATCATTGTAATCATTATGATTGACGAATGATATGTAATCATTGTATGATTATTGGTCAATGCTGACGTGTGGTTTTTGTTATGTTTCCTTTCACAGGGTACTGAAAGATGGACCAGCAAATCCAGTTTACTGCAAGTGCTTATCTCTATACAAGGTTAATTAAAAACTTATATAGTATAAAACATAGCGTATATTTTTGTGGTAAGTTTTCAACCTTTATTTAGGTTGAAAACCATAAGGGATCTTGTGATTAGTGCAGTATTAGCCCTACTATTCATTTAATAATATCTACATTAAAAGGATATTTTATGTGTCATAATTTATCCACCCTTATGGTGTTCCAAAACTTTTTTCTTCTGTGTAACATAATAGAAGATATTTTGAGAAATGTCTTTGTGGTTTTTTTTTGGTCCATACAATGGGGACCAAAACGGTTTGGTTTCCAACATTCTGTCATCTGCGAAATGGTAAAGAATATATTTTGAAGAAAGTCAAATAGTAAATGATAACAGAATTTTTGTATTTGGGTGAACTATTCCTTTAATTATCACTTTTGGAGGGTCAGACTTTGGAAATTTAAATTTTAAACTTAAATTATTAAATGTAATTTTAATTGTATGATTTCATTAGAGACACTCCTGTTTTTTTGCTATTGTACCTGCAAGACTGAATAACATTCTAACATTTTTAAGTGTAAATATTTTGTCTCCACCCCTTTAGGTCTGATCCTTGTCAATGAGCCATACTATAATGAGGCTGGCTTTGACAGTGACCGAGGACTTCAAGAGGGTTACGAGAACAGTCGCTGCTACAATGAAATGGCACTCATTAAGATGGTGCAGTCAATGACTCTACTTCTCCAGCAGCCTGTGGAGGTCTTTCAGCAGGAGATCTGTGAGCACTTTGCCTGCAATGGCTGGCGGCTGGTCCATCGGCTGGAGTCCTGGCTAGATTTGGATGGGGGAGTGACCGACCGTGCTTCACGATGTGGGGTTGGCAGCCTCCATGCAGAACCTTTGGAGGAGATCCCCTCAGCTCTGGCCCACAGTAGTCCAAGCAAACAGGATGTGCGAAGTGAAGAGGAGCTTGAGGATTCCGGTCTCAGTCCTTCCACAGTGGGGCCCAGCTTACCTCCTGGATCAGCCGGGCAGCAGGAACTGAGCCAGAACTCTGATTGTGATAGCTCAGTGGTGGGGGGTGCAGGATCAGAAATACTGGAAGGTTTTGAAGGGGTGTCTGGTTTTGTGACATCTCAAAGTGTAAAACCATGTCAGGAGTCTCAGCCGGCTGTGAGACCAAAGAAACGGAGAAAGAGCTATCGGAGCTTCCTACCAGAGCGCAGTGGCTATCCAGATATTGGATTCCCACTCTTCCCTCTTTCCAAAGGCTTCGTAAAGAGCATGCGTGTAGTTTTGCAGCATTATCGAGCTACTCTTACAGCTGCTGGCGTTCCTGAATACCCAGAAAACAAATAATTGCCCTCCAGTGTATTTTTTTCCCCTTTTTTCTTTTCTCCCTGTTTAACCTTGGCCAGGAACTTGGATCTCCTCATCAGGCTGTAAATGTTCCCAGCAGCCTTTTGTTAATTGCTTTGTAGCACATCTTTAGTTGCTTTGTTTGTTGTTGCCTCTCATTGGTCATGGGGTGGCTACACATATTATTTGTTTGTATTAAACAATGTTGAAATATCATATGCTTCTATCTTGTTTCCCTGACAACAACTCTGCCGTCACACCGCTCTCTCAGGGAAGTATGGACAGATATATGAGACATTAAGAGATACTGAAGGCATGACTGAATCTTTTGTTGTGTTGTGACTTATTTTTCAAGATGTGTGGTTATAAACCGTGCCAGAGGGATACTCCTATTGGTCTTAGGTGTTGTCCTTTGCTACTGTTTTTTTTTTTTTTTTGGATGGGATTACCACCAGACTGTCACCACATATTGATTTGCACAAGTGGAAGGAAGTTCGCTTGCAGAAAAAAGGAGTAAGGATGAAGTTTCAGATCAGATGTGATCCGATTTTTTTTTTAGTCCTTGGTTCATCAAATAACTATATTTCCAAGCGTGACTTCCTCTTTGGTCCATATTTCCAAATGTAGTGCTGCTTTATATGTTGCATTGCTTTTCAGTCTTGATCAATATCATCATTCTTTTAAAGGTGTTGGTGACTTGCTTTTTGATCCAAAAGACACCGTTGTACAACTGCCCAGTCATCTATACTGTACAGAGCCTGATCATTCCTGCTAGTGTTTTGCACTGAAATCATATGACAGTTGAGTGTCAAGTTTACATTTAAAAAACAAAAAGCAACCAGACACACTAAACTACTCTTGACTCTTAAAACTGGAATCCTAACATCCCCTTTCCCTCTCCCTCAAACTCCATGGCACAACATAAATATTTTCAACTTTACTAACTAGTGTTCTCTGTACAGTAATATTATTTACAACTTTTCTTACACTTTCGCCAGAAAGATATATATCATAAATCCAGTTTGCACATATGTGAATAGACAATGGGACCTTTGGTATGAGGCTGGTTAGTCTTCTATACATGTGAGAAGGAACCCAGAGTCAACTAATCATTTGAAGAGGTTTGGCAGAATTTTTTCTTTTTCCATTGCGCTTTGCTTGCATGAAGGTCTCTGGTTTGAACACTGACGAGTTCCACCGTTCCCATTCCTAACTCTTTCCTCTGTCCAACATTGTTGCCTTAAAACTGATTTCAAGCTTGAACCTAGGGTTCCCTTTTTTACTGCATTGTCATTTTCTATTAAGGGGCCCAGTCAAGATACTAGTTATGGTGGAGAGGCATTAATGTTATTTTCACAAGCACAATCTAAGAAGTCATATTCTTTCAACAACTGTGAAATGGTTTGTGTATTTGCTTATATAGATTTTTGTTTTGTTTGATACACTATTTAATCAACTTTTTCCTGATATCATATGTAGCTTTGTTACATGATTTAGAAAAAGCTTCATGTTAATCCTGGTGCTGTGGTTCTCCAGACCACTAGGAGGCAGCAGACTAGTTTCAGACAGTTCCGACCTCATTCTTTTGTTTACATCAACATCAGGCCAGCTGTAATTAAGCACAGCCCACAGACACAAGTTTTACATGCAATAGATCCTCATAATTTTCTTAGTTTTGCACAAAAGGGAATGCACATAATTACACTTGTTACTACTGGAAGGCATATCATGTTTCTTCTGGAGTTGTGAACAGCTGGCTGTATTTTTTCCTGTTTTTTTTTTTTTCTAGCCAGCATACTTTCTTGCTGTAGTTTGGCTATTGGGCTGATTGGCAGATGTGTAAATGTAATATACTGCTGATGTTTTTCTGCACGTTAGCATTCAAGTCTTTTGAAAGACAAAAATACATTTCTGGCTGATGGCTTTGTGCCATCTTAAGAAATTCTCATACATGTTTCCATGCATAATGCAATGCATCCATGCGTCGCTGCCAGTAATATTTTTGAGATGTTTTAGATAAATTGATTTAATTTCTACTTTTTCTCTTGAATTTGTAGCTTATTACAGTTTGGTATTTGGAGAGAAAAAATGCTTTATCAAATTGTTTCATATGCACATTTTGCTCAGTTAACAGAGATTAAATTCCAATTCTCTCTTCCTCTAACTCTTTTTCACCAGTTCAGCCCTCCATGATTTGTTTTTAGTACATTTGCTACATGTGAAGCTAAGTTTCAAGCGAGAATCAGACATCAACTTTAAACTAGGAACTATTTTCTGTGTGTGTAATATACTATGAATTTAATCAAGCTATTATGAGGAGAGATAACAGCCAAAGCATGTAACGTTGCTTTAAGCCTTAACGGCTACATGATACTTGACTGTACAATGTAAACATTTCCACAGTGGCCTGTATTGGTAAACTAATAAACATGATTTGTAGCCTGAATCCTCTGTACAGAAGTCATGACTATAGAAATGCATATAATATATAGATTATATATTTAACAGAAAAGTGGTCATGTGAATGCTTGGGGTGTGTCGCAGAGTGTGTGTTGTATTATTCTTTATTTATTTTTTGCTTCATTTGTAATTTTTATTTTGGTTGCACTAAATGTAAAAACTGAAGCATTAAACTTTGCAAGCAGAGCCATGGGAAAATATTGTTTATTATCCTGTTTTGTACTTAAGTATTCATTTCTTTTTATTAGGAATTGATAATGCATTGCAAGAACAAACAACATGCATTTAAACAAACTTTTATTAAAAAAATAAAAGAGAAATGCTTTCTCTTTGCTTTGACTTTCCAATAGAAAAATTTAGAGTGAAAAAATAATTACTCAGACAATATAACATGACTTTAAACAGTAAAAAAAATGAGTCAGCCACTTATTCCAAAAACATGGAGTTGAGCATTAAATCTGCTCTGACATCAATTTTGAACTTGGTAGTATTGTTAGGATACATTGGTTATTTAAAAGGTAACCAATGTTACTTCCACATTCCTATCAGACAACTTTATTCATATCTTGACTTACTACAATCAGATATATTTTAGTATAATTGAGTACAAGATGATGATTTCACCATGTTAAGGCACATCAAAGATTTTGAAGCATTTATATTGTAATACATTAGATATTCAATTTATAGTGCAAAACTATGCAATCTAAATAAGTCACAATCATTACTCAGAAATGCTGAGCAATATAATAAATTAGCAAATACATCTTTGCAAAGAAATTAGCAAGTTGTTTAAAAACAAACAGCACAGAAAGGAAACTTGATCAATAATTGATAATTGACCAATACAGTATATGCACACAAGTAATACAAAACTCAGTCCAGCAGCCTGCTTAAGACAAAATTAGCTATAGTTATAGCACTGCAGCATTACAGAAGTGTCACAAAATGCGGCCTACCCACAGACCAGGGGCCGTATTCACAAAACATCTTAAGGCTAAAAGTAACTTCTAACTTGCCGATTTATGAGAAACTCTTTAAAATAATGGGCATTTCAGTCCTAATTTTAACTCCTATATTTTTGCTCTAAGAGTATTTCACAAAGCATTTTAGCGCTAAAACCAGCTCCTAAGTCTGTGAAAAGTTAGGGGTAGTCAAGAGGACTCCTAAATCACTAAAACCAAATCACAAACAATCCTAAAATGGCTGTTGCTGGCAATCCGCCTCAGCAATCCACCCAAAGACACTGTACAACATTGAGGCAATAGGCGAAAGAGCCTTGGGTACTGAGCCTTCTCTTCAGAAATGCAAGAAATATTTAGATTTATAGATTTTAATCTGCGATGATATAAAATAAAGGTTCATTTATGTACAGGCAAAATGCACTGAATGATGGAGAATAAAACATTGAGGTCAAGTTGAAAATAATGTCATATCGTCAGTGTTGATATCGGCAGCTCGGGTGACCCGAATTCGAGTTCTGGCTTGTGGTCCTTTCACAATCCCGAATTGTTTATAAAACATCATTTGTCGCTTGAATTCTGCAAGAGGCTGATAATTAGCTGACCATTTACTGACCCTTAGGCTACATTTTAAAATCTCAATTTGAATGTGGCAACATTTTTATTTTAAAATCTTTATATGATTAAATCACTTATAGTGATTTCCCCATCCCCCATCAACCAATCACTGTGTCCATAGTAAGCGTGTTGACATCATCCATAGCAACGAGGTCAACCCTGCCCTTTCTCTTAGCTTAAGACTTCCCTCTATTCCTTAGTAAAAGTTGGTCACAGCAGCTTCTGAATAGGTTTTAGGAGAAAACTCTTACCTTTGAGCGTGAGCGGTGAGCAGCCCCTAAGCGGTGAGCAGTGATTCTGTGAGAATTCACAGATCCAGTTTCTCTTTTTTAATCTTTCCCTTAACATTTAAAGGAATCTACATGTATGTGTGTGTGCTCAAATATGGCTTCTGGAAAGAAAATAAAGGATAATATATGAATTACTAAACAGACATTAATTAAGAAGTTCCCCATACTTTTAGAGTTACAACTAACAACCGCTAGATGGCAGCAGCGTATAAGAAATGAACTGACAGCTAGTAAATCTTTGAACATGGAGTGCTAATAATAATAAATATAATATGTCAGCCTCACAATTTTTACAATTGAAGTGCTATAAAAGTTGGAGAAATTACAAATGCGATGTGCATTGTATTAAAAAAATCTTTATTGATATGCAAATAGACAATAGACATCGAGCAAAAGAAAAATGGCAAGTGATGTATCCCCTCAAATCTGTAGATGTGCATGGATTTGTCCTGAATCCCTTCAAGAACTTGGGAGCAACTAGGGTATACAGACCTTCTGTATAGTGTAACGTGTCATAACGTAATTGTGTATAGGACAGATATACACACCTTCTGTAATGCGTAACGTGTCATAACTTAATTGTGTGTAGGTCAGTGAGTGAGTGAAACTGGTGTGTTTGTGTCTGGGATGGACAGGGAGAGAGAGACCGCAAGTGATCAGATGTATACCTAAGTCTGTGTGTGCTTGATGTTGGACC